ATATATATATATATAATAGTATATCCTTTTCAGCTTATGAGTATCCAAGGAAATGTTGTTACACGTGCATGTTCATATTTATCCCTTTTATACGACTTAAGCCTTTCTGTAATTGTAACTTTCTTTTATTTAGCATTTAAAAATTTTAGTCGGATGTTAATTCGCTCATGTCCTGCTGCAAAATGGAATAATGGGAGAATGATATCTAAAGGAGAAAAGAAGCGGGATGAACTCAGTGCTCATAATAAGTTGGAAACTAAAACAGCTATTAAATAAATTGAAGGTAATAAACCTCTAAACAAAAATTAAATATTCGATAGCCTAATAAGTAAAACACGTGCACTGAATCATATACATGTATATATATATATATATACAAATTTAAACAACACGTTCTTAAGTTTCAGCGTAACCATAATTTCATCTGAAAGAAAATATTTATCACCTGAAACAAAGTATATTTTATACTGATGTATTATATATATTCTAACTTTTTATTTCTCTAATGAAATAATTTATGCTTTGAATATTTCCGTGAATTGAGCTTTCCTGTTAATCATATGAATTTGCAAACGTTTTGTTTAAAGTACGCTTCAAATAAGTACGGTGAAAAATAATATATTTGCTGATAAGTTATTTTTAAACTTTAAGTTGTTCTTTCATTCTTGAAGCTTGATATGACCACCAGAATTAAACCTAGCTAACTGTCTTGTTTTTAAGCCATGTGCTATCAAATATAACATTCAAAATTTTCTGATATATAATAGTGATTCTACTTTTTCCAGGGTTTTCGAGAGGGTCAGTTATGTCCGATGCAGTGGACTTCAGCTAAGGAAGCTAACTTCACCAAAAATTGGGCATCACCTTGGCTGCAGCATTCATCCTAAGTCTTCTAGCCAAAATGTGGAGGATTGTTCAGCTGAGATTTCGTTGGTAAGCCAGTTAATAGCCACCCGGGACAAATCAGCTTCGTTATGGATGAAAGCCATTTACGACGGAAAGAGCGCTGTATGTGATGGGAGGCCTTTCACGTATGTTGTTCATTCTGGCAACGGAAGACTGATCACGTTAGAGAGGAACTTTCCTACAAAGGAAAGATACGTGGTGAGTGCCAATTTTGGGACTAAATCAGTAACAGTGGATTTCAGCAAGTTTTTTCCGAAAGCACACATACTGTTTTCTACAGAGAGTGAACTCCAAAGCGAGGAGAGATCATCCAGATCATGGAACAGTCAGAACGTTTCCTTAGATCCGGGAGACGCATTAATCATTGAACCGCGTGCTTAGTTAGCGTTTCAATCACGATGCATGGCCGAGTTCCACCAACGTATCACCCTATTTAATGATAACGGTTTAACGTTGTAGTGAGGTGTTTCTTGCTGTTAAATCTTTATATACTTGTGTTACTTTTTTTCCTGTTCATTCTTGAAACATTAAAAAACTTTTATGTATTTAATGTCATTTATTATTTTAAGAAAATATTTGAAGTAATCCATATTTTCGTCAATTTTAAGCTTGCTTACTCAATAAATTTTATATCATAAAACTTTATGTGTAACATACTCAAAATATTAAATATTATTCTAAATTCAGTTTATATCGTTACAAGATACCTCGAAATCATGCCAATTCATACTTAACATTCAAAATATGTATTAAGAGTCTAATTATATCAACTTGAAGTTTACATACAACGTTGAAACAGTCTACAGTGTTCTAAGTGCATTAATCCCTCTTTGTAAATTTTAAGAATAACGAGTAGTGTGAAAGTTCACAGGAGTGAACCGGAATCAGTAGTAAAGCGATAAAAGATCGATAAAAATCAAGTTATTAACAAATACACAAATCCCGACATTCCACCATATGTTTTAAACCATACAGGGTAACTCTGTTGCATCATTTTTTTCAGTGGATGCAGTAACATTTTCCACGATGGGCTAATACACATAACCGGTTTTTTCAGTGGATGCAGTAACATTTTCCACGATGGGCTAATACACATAACCGGTTTTTCAGTGGATGCAGTAACATTTTCCACGATGAGCTAATACACATAACCGGTTTTTTCAGTGGATGCAGTAACATTTTCCACGATGGGCTAATACACATAACCGGTTTTTTCAGTGGATGCAGTAACATTTTCCACGATGGGCTAATACACATAACCGGTTTTTTCAGTGGATGCAGTTGCAGTTTTTACGATGAAATAAATACATTTAAATTGACCTTCTACATTCTCGTTTAACTTTGTGCTTAAACTGTGATATCTGGATAGTGTTCTTTTATGAGAAATACATTACAGTAATTTTATACGTATTCGAGAGTAAGGGAAATGCGTTATTTCTGTACAAATTCTATTACTTTTGTTTCGGCCCGGCATGGCCAGGTGGTTAGGGCGCTCGACTCGCAATCTGTGGGATCGAATTCCCGTCCCACCAAACATCCTCGCCCTTTCATCCTTGGGGCGTTATAATGTGACGGTCAATCCTACTATTCGTTGGTAAAAGAGTAGCCCAAGAGTTGGCGGTGGGTGGTAATGACTAGCAGCCTTCCCTCTAGTCTTACACTGCTAAATTAGAGACAGCTAGCGCAGATAGTCCTCGTGTAGCTTTGCGCGAAATTCAAAACAAACAAACAAACTTTTGTTTCACTCTGTATTTTATATTTTATAGCAAGTATGGGTTTACCCGAAAATATATATTCCACTTGACTAGACACTGGTGTGCAGATTTGATATCTGTTTAGCAAAATATCTTGACAGAATTGAAGAGAATATTAAAACTACTCTAGAAAAAATAAACCCCTCAGATAAAGATAATTCTAAATACTACTCTTGACGTTAACACACAAGTTTTATCAGAGGCAGTTTACTCTAACCAAATCAAATTCTGACGACTAATAAAACACCATCGTTGCAACAGCTGGTTTTCTTCTCGTGAACATAACATTTTCATTCAAAACTTAAAACTGCATTAATAGCATTTGAATCAGAATAAATGTATTTTTCCATTACTTCGGAAAACAACTGTCAGTGCTTCCTAAAGCATTTATTAGCGAAAACACACATGAACTAAAATTGGCGGAACAACATTGAAAAAAACAAAAAACGACAGCGCCAAAAAATAAAAAGTGAATTAAGTTTATTATCTAATAAACAATGAAAAACCGAAAACTATAACAGAATAAAAACTGCAATAGAAGAAACAAGAAATAAAGAAACCAATGAAAGAACTAGAAGAGTTGTGTCGAAAAAGAATTTCTGTACATAATTAACACGCTGAGATCTATATAATCACACTTCGCTGTGTAGATCCCTAGTTCTAGTGGTTTGCTATTGGCCCAGAGTTAGACGTCTCACTCTCTGATAACAGGGGAATTAGAAGACGGCCATCTCAGTGGTGTTCGTCCCCAACTTATGTTTTCAATGAACGAAGATGACATGATCATCAGTAAGTTTCCATCAGAAATGCATTTAGTGGTGTCGTCAATGGTAGGAAAGAGTTCTACTGTCTTAAAACTGCAATCCTTATGCAATTATGTTGAACAAATCCGTTATTATAGACTTAGATGATTCATTTCATTGAGTTGTTAAGGAAAATAAAAACAATCGTTATACTTAATTGTAAGAAAGTACGGACTACATATTTTATATTAACAAATATAAGAAAATATTTGTAACATTTCATATACGAAACTTCTCATTTGCTTAACGAAAGTGCTTTGGTAAACCAACTATAGTTTCGTCATTCTGTCTTATATTCAAATTCTATGGTGTATTTCACAATTGTTGATTAAAAAAAACTATTCAAGAAATATAAAGGTAAGAAAAAAAGATCTTAAAATTTTATACCTTGAAACGTAGTTGGCACGATGCTAAAAGTTTATGGACAGCACATAAAACTTTTTAAATATATGTCTGGATATTCTGATTCAGGTTTTCCTATAAAATTTTTTGTTGACTGACTGAATAGGATATTAACTACCATTTTAAAGTTTCGATTTGAGTTCGTAAATCCGTTAATGTTAAACAAACATTTTGATTTGCATGAAAAAAAATAGCTAACAAGGGTTGAATGGTGAAATGTACTTCAAAAATATACATTTTGCACTCAAAATCTCCATTCAAATAAAGCGCAAGTCGCATACTGAATCGCTAATTAGGAATTTTCAGGATCATCTAGTAAAAACAATCGTGAATGCCAGCACACACACACACATTGTACAGTAATGGATGTTTGAAGAGATAGACTTGCTGGCACGACGGGCTCACATGCTATTTATATATATACCGATGTAACATAAGTAGAACGTCTTGAAGCGTGAGATGTTTCTTTCATTTCTGATCACAGCAGTTATCCATACAGAATGTTTAATGTGTGATTCCGAAGTAAGTTAAAGCGTTATATCAGTCGTTAAAAAGAGACGAGGTTTAAAAATAAGTTCCTCCTCTTCCTCTCTGAACGATAGCTGCTGTATTCGAAGATTGCTTTTGTCAGTTCTCTGATAGCTGTATTCGAAGATTGTTTTTGTCAGTTCTCTGAGAGCTGTATTCGAAGATTGTTTTTGTCAGTTCTCTCTTCCAGAGCAAGATCTTTAGAGTCCAAAGTTTCTTGCCACTTGGGTATTATATTAAATCAAATCACTATAAGGTCTTACTTTGTTGTTTCCATTGTACAGAATGCCCACCACGGGTATCGAAACCCGGTTTCTAGCGTTGTAAGTCCGCAGACATACCGCTGTGCCACTGGGGGGGGGGCAGAAGGCGAGAGTGGGAATGCGGAACTTGAGACCTATAAAAATGGCGTGAAGTTTAAGTATTTTTTAACTAAATATTATATTGTATCATGCAGATTACAAACTAACCTCATCTCTAACAACACTGTGTTAAGATACTAGTCATATGTGGGAAATACTGATTCAACTTTCAAATGTTGGTTTCAATATAAACACTCCTCAAAAATTGACAATCCAACAACAGGCAAACACACCTGTCGTTACGTTTTAGGATTCCTACGCTGTTTCATATTAATTTAAACTTTTATTTTTGACTTCAAAACAGTCAGAGTAGATATTTGTAAGTAGTGGGCTGGATAATGATCTATTTACATAATGTTTATTAAGCATATGAATCTTTTGAAAACATTATTGATTTAGAAAAGCATTCATAATACAGTAAGTCACATCTTCCTTATCTAAAGTAAGATTGTAAAGTAGCTTTACAACCCTCAAGTGAAGAAACAATAACGGAGGTAGAGGTGTACATCAACCGAAGCGTAAGAATAAGAAGTGTGTAATACGTTTTAAAACTCAAAGAACAATTTGTCAACATATTGAAGAATGCATATACGTAATTCATAGATAAGAGCTTTAGATGATTAACAACCCTTGGTCTTGTCATGACAGTTGTTGAACGATACAATGGAACCAATCCCCACCCATACAATGTACTTACGTATTTTAGGAGGATCTACATGCAGTATGTAGTAATACCCAGGACACTGTAAAAGTTACCCTTAGTAACAGTTACTTCAGAAAAAAATACCATCTTTAATCATTAACGCAGTATGTAATTCAATAAGACCCCCAGTGGCTCAGCTGTAAGTCCACAGGCCAAACATCTAGTTCCGATACACGTGGTGGGCAGAGCACAGATAGCCTGCAGCTTTGTGTTTAACAACAACCAACCAACGTAATTTAATAAAAGTTTATTTAGATATAGTAAAATTTGTTTACTTTAGAGCAAAGCCATCTTAGGTTATCTTCTGTGTCTATCGCGGGGAATTAAACCCTAGATTTCAGCGTTGTAAGTCCGCAAACTTACCGCTGCCCCATTGGGAGACTATAGTAAAGTTTTTCAGTAAGAATTATGGAAAATACTGTCACTTAGTAGAGTTTCTCGGTAATAATTCTAAGAAATACTGTCACTTAGAGGAGTTTCTCGGTAATAATTCTAATAAATACTGTCACTTAGAGGAGTTTCTCGGTAATAATTCTAAGAAATACTGTCACTTAGTAGAGTATCTTGGTAATAATTCTAAGAAATACTGTCACTTAGAGGAGTTTCTCGGTAATAATTCTAAGAAATACTGTCACTTAGTAGAGTATCTCGGTAATAATTATAAGAAATATTGTCACTTAGAGGAGTATCTCGGTAATAATTCTAAGAAATACTGTCACTTAGTAGAGTATCTCGGTAATAATTCTAAGAAATACTGTCACTTAGAGGAGTTTCTCGGTAATAATTCTAAGAAATACTGTCAATTACTGAAGTATTTTTTTGTATGATTTCTAAGAAATACTTCCAGAGACCAACGTTTCTCGGTAAGAATTCTAAAAACTATTATCTTTTACACATTTTTGGTAATAATTCTAAGAAATACTGTGAATTAGTAAAGTTTTTTGGTAAGAAATACTGTGTTCCTTACTAATATTTTAT